TTTACGCTGGTTTCTCTATGCTTGCCATGAGTTGATTGCCATTGCAATCGGTGAATTTCAAATTACGAACAGGTTTCAACGAACCAAATCACCGTAACGTTGCGTGTTGCATCTTGAATCATTGCGATCTCAAATCCATTGACATCAGATCAGATAGCGTAACTTTATCAGATAGGCGGATGATTCATTCGATCAATGAAAAGCTGACGTCACAGTCAGTAAAGTAGCCTTCGTCTGTGGTTCGTTAAGGATCTCGTAATATCCAAACGAATTGACCGAACGACATAAAATATACACAATATGTTTGTGCCGTCAAGACAATGTTCCAAAAGGATGTCCATTGGCGGCGGTATTCACTTAACATCAGGTGAACCGTCTGCTTGTTTGGCAACTTTTCAAATATTAAAAATTAATGCCTGTAGGAACACCGTTCTCAATAGAATAGAACGCCAGATGGACCGGTGAAAGCGCTAAAGAATGATTATCAACCCGACCTAAGATCCGCTTCAAAGGAGGGTTGCGTGAAATAGCATACACGATTAACACAAACTAAGGTAAAGAACAACATGCAATTTCGATTACAGACAGACACTGCATACACAGAGTATAGGTGCTTAAACAGTATTATAAACCAACTTATATAAATTGATAATAGAACTGTTTTACATTAAAATAAAACAGTTATTATATGCCGAAAGAAACACACAGCGTTAATGTGAAGAAGCTGCTTGCGAATCTGCCTTCCTAGAGCATATTTCAATAAAACATACCTGTGTTATCTGTGGTTTCCATGACTGTTACCTCCTTCATGCCAGCAGGGGGCGCTGACGCCTATACTGCGGCGGCAACCGACAGCTTGTCTCATAGTGTCTTCACTCACCAGCAAGGCACTTGCTATAACGCTGTGTGTTTCTTTCGGCATATAATAACTGTTTTATTTTAATGTAAAACAGTTCTATTATTTGCCTACTGGAAACACACAGCGTTAATGTGAAGACCTGTTTGATATCTGCTGGTGATGTTATCAATAAACGCTATGTGAAAAAAAAAATTTATAAATAAGAATACTCAGGATCATTATCAAGGAATTGATTGTAATTGATTTCAAAATCTTTTATTAAAGACTTAATTATTCTTCAAATTATGCTCAAATGTAACAGCAATGATCACTTAAATTTATTCTTAACAATAAAACAATAACAATAACAATATCTTTAACATGTCTGATAAATAATCAATAATTTTCCAAATAAACTCTCATTTAAGATAACAATAATATTAATAGAAAATATCAATCAATAATTAACAAGTAATTTTTACAGTCTTATTAATTTGTACTATTTTGATAATCATATACATAAAAAATTTGAATACAGCAAGTCTTCTCTATTGTTCTTGGGACCTTCCTTAATGACTTCCTTACAATAATACCTGCTGAAGGTTTTATTGCTTTTCCAATTTCCTCGCTTTAATATTTCTTCCACTGGTATATTTTCCAACCATCCTTTTGACGCCACTGCTGAACGAATACTGCCTGGACTGGCCTCTAAATTAATTTCTTTAAAAATTGACTTCACCCATCCAGCAATGATAGTCCTGGTGGCTGCTTTTACGGAACCCTTTAAGGTAATAAATAAGCTGGTTACATTGCAGTGCAAACGCCTTTCTTGGGTGACGTCAGTAAGCAGTTGAATGTGCCTTATAGGACATATATTACTACTTGGGTGTTTCAATAATGCCCACCCTGATTGCCTATGAGTAGTGGAATCTGTTTTAGAACCAAACTTTGGCCACAGGGTTATTTTCCCACATTCTGTTATCATGTTGTTCTCTGAAATATCTAAGAGGGTGAGATCATGTAAGCGTCGTCCAGATGCTAAAAGTAAGATTATTGCAGTCCTTCTGGAAATGTCAAACATTGGATTAGTGCAAGGAACTGTATTTAACCAATCAAATAATATCTTTGTATCCCATATAGGACTTTTAACAGATTGAGGTTTGGATGTTGCAATAGCTTTAAGAATATGATGAATAAAAAAGTTTTTAGATATATTTTCTAAGTTATTTGCACAATATGTGGATATTGCAGACTTATGCAACAAAATTGTACTATATGCATAGTCATATTTTAAATAAAGATGTGCTAAGAATCTAGCCACATCCATGGGATCTGGGTTCCTGTGATCCAGATTATTCATGCCACACCAATTAATCCATCTTTTTATTGGTGCTCTATAAGTATTGAGAGTAGATGTCCGCCAACTACTATTTAGTAAATTTATTTCTCCTTCACTCCAACTGCAGACCTTATCAGACCACCCCCAATCTTCCAAGCATGGAGTGACAGTTTGTCCACTTGTGGAGGGGGTCTCCCTGTTGATTGATCCACCAGATTCCTTCGGAGATTCTTTATTGGAATGGGTCTTGTTAGGGCTCTCGACTCTAGATCGCTCAGCCAAAAGCATTGTTCCCAATGTGGGGCTATTATTATGTATGTTCCTGATGCGCTGTTCAGATGAGATAGAACGCGAGGCATGAGGTTGGGAGGAGGAAATACCCATCCTAGCTGAAAATCCCATTCTCGGCTGAATGCGTCGCAAAAACTGGCTGAGCCATCTTTTGAGTTCCATGTGGCATACTGTGGAACAACTGCTGTTTCTTGGGATGCGAACAGGTCGATATCGGGCACGCCCCATGTTTCGAAAATGGGAAGTCTGGCTGGAACCAATAGGTGCCATTCGGGTACTTGTCTTCCCCTTGAGAGGCAGTCTGCTATACCGTTTAACCTCCCCGGGAGGTAGCCTGCCGACAGCGTCACATTGAGCTGATCGGCTAAGAGAAGGAGTTGGCTTGTCAATCCCAGAAGGGCCCTGGAGCGGGTGCCCCCTTCGTTCCTGATATACGCAATCAGAGTCCTGTTGTCGGACTGGACTAGTATGTGGGTATCCCTCACATATGCACTTTGTCGTTTCAAAGCTGCATATACTGCATACATTTCCTTTATGTTTGAGTGCCATTTCTTTTGCCTCTGATTCCACTTTCCGGACATGACAATGTTGTCCAATTGTGCTCCCCAGCCCGCATCCGCTGCGTCTGTGGTTAAAAAGTGGGCTACTTTCTTTTTGTGCATTGTCTTGGTGCTGTTGTCGATATGATTCAGCCACCAATGCAATTCCTGAATTACCAGGTGTGGTAAAGGTAGTTTTTTCCCTTGGCCGGACCCTTCCAAAGGATCTCAGAAATATCTGAATCCTGCGACAATGCAGGCGACCATTGAGAGTTGTGATGTTTGCAAAATTCAGTGAGCCTAGTAGTTTCTGTGCATCTCGGAGACAAACTGTTTGTTGTTGTTAATAGGAGAGATATAATCAATTTTATTTTTGCAATTTTGATTAAAGGTAATGACATCATTTGTACTTGTGTTCCAGCTTATTCCTAAGTATTCTAGTTCCTGAGTCGGGTTTAGAATGGATTTTTTTCAAATTTATGTGCCATCCCATTGTTTTTAATGTGTTTATAACCGTTACTGTCTGGTTTACCAAGGCAGACTTGCACTGGTTGGCTATTAAAAAGTCGTCTAGATAAACTAGCACTCTTATGCCTTGTCTCCTTAGGATTTCCGCAATCCAATTGGTAACCGAGGCAAACACGTGAGGCGCTGACGAAAGGCCAAAAGGAAGTGCTGTAAGCTGTAAAATTTCTTTTCCATATATTATCCGCAAAAAAAACGCCTGTGGGACTTTCTGATGGACAAATGGAAATAAGCTTGTTGAAGGTCTATTTTGATCATCCAATCTTTGATTTGTAAGAATTGAATTACATCCATTTGAGAGATTAATTGAAAGTGGTTTGTTGCCACATGTAAATTGAGACTTTTCAAATTGAAAATGGGGCGAATACCCCCATCTGGTTTTTTTATTAAAAACATCTGAGAATAAAAACCTGGACTCATCCCCGCTGGTTTTTCCAATATGCCCTTTTCTTTTAAATCTAGTACTACCTGTGTCATTTGATGTGATGTTTTTGTAGAAAATTTTTTCAGAAAATTTTTGTATGGGTATTGCAAAGGGGGCTTGGATTTGAATGGAATACGGCCTTCTGATATAACTTTTATTATGAATTGGCTGGCACCCATTTGTTCCCATATGTGAACATAATCCTTCAAGCAACCGCCTTTGAATACCTGTTGATTGTCACTTTTGATTTCCATTTGCTGATGGACCATGGGATTGAAATTCTGAGTTACGAAAGGGCTTTCCTTTTTTATGATTATATTTGTTCCTTCTATTTGGGTCACGCCTATCTTTTATATGGTTTTTATGAACTTTGTGGGATGTACCCTTTTTAACGTTATTAGGCCTGCTGTTATAGTTATTAGTAAACCCCCGTCTTTCCTTCATGTAGTCTGGGTGTATTGAGCCACACATGTGTACCCCCTAATGACTCAACTAATGGTATTAGTCCTTGTCGGCTAAACAAATGCTCTGCACTAGGAGGTATATTTCTTAAAGCCTGTTTAAGGTTGACATTCCCTACTTCCTTTAATATACGTTCACGCCTATTTTCTATACACTCTGCTCTCTTGCCACATATGAGTTGCAGAGTTGTTTCCTTATTTTTGTATGAGGCAGAACCAGGACCAAAAACAACTAACATCTTTTCATATAATTTATTAGCATTCAATTCAGTCTTATTACTAGAGGCCCAATCTACCAACTCTTGTAGGCCCAACTTTAAAAGTTGCCTATCTTCTAGAACTTGGTTTGATAAGGCCACTAGAACTTGCTCTGTTCCTTGAAGATAATCTTTTCCCTTATTGTAATGGCATAACTCATCATTTACCTTTAAACTAACAAAACCTGGCGAAGCAATACAAGTTTGCAAGGCTTTTTTGTAACGAATATTATGCCATGCAGGAGAATTAAATTGTTGCAAGGTATTAATTTCAGCTAGCCTTTCAGGATTGGCTATTGATACTAATCTATTTTCATCAATATTTAATTTAACTTCACCTAAGGATAAATGTTTATTTGTGTACGGTGAATCTGGTCTTTGTAAAAAGTTATCATTGGAAGTAGATGGCATGGTACTATTTAGATTATTATATGGTATATTTAGATTATTATTAGAGTTTAATTCACTAAGTAACTGCGGCATCTGTGACATATAATCAGTTAAAAAACTTACTTGATGTATGAGCGTGTCCATGCGCGGGTCCGAACACGTCACGACTTGCTTCGACCTGCTGCATTTTGACCGCTTGTTCGGTGGCGGTGAAGCAATGCCCTCCTCATCTCCCGAAGATGAGGAAGCACTACTCTGCGATGAGCTTGAGCTCAAGGCGCTCCGCTCTCCCTCCGGAGCAGCGACAGGCACCTCAGAATCGTCTTTAGGATCCATATCCAAATATTATACTAATATTTCGTAAACTACTGACACGCATATACCATACGTTATTAAATAACGACGTAATTATTAACAGAAGAGTTGGCCTATTATTACCAAGACTTAAATTATTTTAAACACTAACTATTAAAGTATTATATATTTTGCTCTTTTCGCGGCAAAATTCACAAACGCTATGAGACAAGCTGTCGGTTGCCGCCGCAGTATAGGCGTCAGCGCCCCCTGCTGCATGAAGGAGGTAACAGTCATGGAAACCACAGATAACACAGGTATGTTTTATTGAAATATGCTCTAGGAAGGCAGATTCGCAAGCAGCTTCTTCACATTAACGCTGTGTGTTTCCAGTAGGCAAATAATGGCGAATTATTGGAGTCAAAATGTATATTCTTGAAAAGGTTTAGGAACCGCTGTCAGGTTTCTTTTATGTTCTTACTTATTAACTTAGTCTTTTTACTTTAGAGATTGTCTGGGCGAGTAATATACTTTTTTGCTTTCGTCGTGAGTGAATGTGGCAGAAGCCCAATTTTCAAAGCGTTGTCAACGGCAGTCTGCAAACCCTCTGTCTCCATGTCCATGGGCCGGTAAGTAATTCCCCACTGTAATAATCAGGTGAACCACAGCTCGCTTTGGCAACTTTTGTAACATAAAAAAGCGCAACGGTGATGTCGGGACTTATCCGTTTTTAGAGATATTATTCTCCGTTTTCGGATATTCTTTTCTTTTTTTGCGTTAACCAACCTGGTGGAGCTGGCGGTTCACCTGATGTTGAGGGATAACTGCGGTCCATTGAAATTTGCAACACATGTATCAGATGTTAGTATTCACTATCATGCTTCGTTGGCAACCACATAAAAAAGCGCACGTGATGTCCAATGAAAAATGGCTACCTGCGGTCATTCAAAGACTAATGCGAAATGGCTACCTCATTCAAAGACTGAAAGCAGAATTACAACGTGGTAATTACCCGGACGGACCTGCCCGTTCGCGCAATAACGAAGTCTGTTGCGTGGCCCTACCACACTGAAGAGGAGCCATAAGCATCGTCTTAAGTTATGATAATGTTGTTAGGATGATTGACGAACTGATTGGGCGGCATCCAAACTGAAACTGCAAGGGGAGTGCCCCTTTCGTAGGCGTTACATATATTGAAACCCCTGAAGTCTTTGGTTTATTGGATTTTATATCGATTTTATGTTGTGTCCGCACCAACTCGGATAGTAACAGGAAAGAGATAAGAACACACTATCTGCGAAATAACCGAAATCCACTGATATGACCCGTCCACAAATTACATCTATGTTGTTACCGATTTGAATTAATTGGAAATTAATAAAAATGTGCATTCGGTTTACCTGATTGAAACTATATAAATTTTGTCTAAAAAATTCATGCTTTAAAAAAATTCTCCCACCGAGTTTCCTTCGGCGGTTTACTTAGGTCAGCGGTTCTGAGTGTTCCGTACTGAGACACCGCAGTCGGTTTGTCTGTCTGTCCGTCAGTCAGTCTGTCACCAGGCTGTATCTCATAAACCATGATAGTAGTATTTACACAATTGATGTATTTCTGTTACTGCTATAAAAACAAATACTTAAAAACAGAATAAAAAATATTTAACTAGGGCTCCCATACAGCAGTCACGAATTTTTACCGTTTTTATAATGTTACGGAGCCATTAGTGTGCGAGTCCGACTCGCACTTGGCCAGTTTTTCTTTTTCGAACCGGTATTACTGGATTTTTAACTATCAATAACTAACTGTAATTGCTTGTATATTGATGAATTATATTATATACAAATTCGTCTTCATTGTGTCAGTACACCCAAAGTTATGAAAAGTCTAAATTATGCTGGGCCGATTTTTGAATCCAATATATATATATTTTTTTTTTTTTCGTGTTCATTCAGTTTCGTTTCAATTATCGTTTTTCAGGTTGCGATACCTAATTAACGGGATCAAATTAGGGAATCGTCCCAAATCATAAGAAGATTAGGCAGGTCCAATAGATGGTATCTGCTTCAGCGCCAAGGCTCTTGGGTTCGGTTCCCAAACGGGACAAGTATTTGTGTGACCTATAGATAATTGTTCCGGATCTGACTTTTATTCCCAAGTAGGTTTGAGGTCAAGAAGGCGGCCGAGCGTAAAAAACAAAACACCTTACAACATGTATCATATGTGCCGTTACATTCTAGCTGGGTTAAAGGTAGGAGTCGCGATTGTAAAGACACGCTGTGTATATACAAGAATTCATTTTTAGAAAATGTCCTTTTATCCCTGTTTTCAGGGAATGAATGATATGACGGTAATTTCGCCGAAAAAAAAATCGGTAATCGGGCGGCCCCGAAACAGAAGACCGCTTATTTTTTTAATTTTTTTTCTATAGTAGATCATTGTTTTCTTTATTTTTTATTTTTTTTATTTCCAAAATACACGATTTACCAAAAAAAGTCTTCCAGGTACTGACCTTTAAAAGCATATCACCACTATTGAAAGAAAATGGGATAGATCAAATTTAATGATATTGTCAAAAAAACTTTTTGTTACAAAACATTTAATGTATTAATGTCATCTTTTGGTTTTTCTTTTACCTTTTGCTTTCCACATTATTATATCAGTAATCGCTGATCCGAACACGGCAAATAGTCCATATAAACGGGGGACAAAATTAATTACCATTACGTACCACAGTAAAGTCTGAAAATTTGAACGAATATGTATTCAATTGTGCATTTTATAAAATAATTGCGGTTTGTTTACGAATGAACGGTCTTCAAATTGTGTAATCGGAAATTCCAGGCCAATCGCCGACAGGATAGCGGCTGACTCATTAAAATTAAGAAGAAATTACAATTGCCTTTCACGGGAATCCAATAATCGACTTATTTTTTTAAAATATTATTTTACTATCTTATTGCTCTTTGCCAGTAATAGTAATGCTATTTTAATACATACAATAATATATACAAATACTAACGACCCGCCCCGGCCTCGCGCGGGTGTAATGCATTACACATATAAACCTTCCCCTTGAATAATTCTATCTAGAAAAAAAAACCGCATCAAGAGCTGTTGCGTAGTTTTAAATGTGCAAGAATACATAGGGACAGACAGCGGAACGACATTGTTTTATACTATGTAGTGATGATTTAGCTGCGCTGTTGCACGAATGGGCAGGGCCATCCGGAGAACTATGACCTCACAGAAGACCGGTGTGAGGTGAAGTATTTTACTTTAGTTTCATCTGGTGGGTGAGGTAACCGGAGCCGCATTTTTAAAGGTGGCAACGCGTCTGCAACCCTACGGGTGTTGCAAATGTCCATGAGCGACGGTTATCACTTAGCATCGGGTAAACCGCCAGCTCGCTAACAACCTTTTCACATAAAAAAAGTTGTGTGTACTTATGTACACACGTTAGAACTATTTTTTTTATGTGAAAGTTGCCAAACGCGCAGACGGTTCACCTGATGTTAAGTGAATGCCGCCGCCCATGGACATATGCTACACCCAAGGATTGTAGATGCGTTGACAACCTTTTGAAAATTGGGCTCCGGCCACCTCACTCACCAGACGAAACGCAAAAGTATTATACTTCCACTTTACGTCGGTCTTCTGTGAGAGGTTGTGGTACTTACCCGGATGAGCCTGCCCATTCGTGCAACAGCCGAGGCTGCTGCGTGGCCCTACCACCGAAGAAGTTATACTTCGTTCGCTTAACAAAAGAAATATAACTTGATGACCCCGCGGCGCAGTGGCCATGGTATTGGCTTCGGCGTCGGTGGTCGTGGGTTCGATTCCCACACGGGACAACTATTTGTGTGACCCACAGATATTTGTTTCGCATCTGGGTGTTTGTCCGCGTGAAATTTATGTGTGTAAAACGTCCTTACACAAAGGATAATCTTATCCTAAAATAAGGGCAATGTATTTTTTAAAAAAAATGACAAAAAAAATACTAAAAGTTTTATATCCTGTGCCTTTGTTTGTGAAAAAAATACATTAGGTTTTGTTTGTGAAAAATTCATTAGGTACATGCATTTGATAACGGCTTAAGTAAATAACTTGGAATTATGTCACTATATCGCTTGATCTTTTGCTCTAGATGAACAATTTCTGAATGGTCAAATATAGAATAAGTATAAATCGAAGGGTGAGAAATGGGCGACGCATAACGCTCGGCATCAAAATTTCAGAAAAACAAATGGAATGTTATTCACGAGAAAAGAAAATTCACCAGTAATTATGAGAAATCGAGTTGATGGAATGAAAATGCATATTAATCACGCTCCTAAACACAATTGACATTTATTTATCCAACATTTACAGCATTAAATTTATCTAAATTACATATATAAACCTAATCCACGCGGCATGGTGCCTAGAACGCTAGCTGCATTTCCTCGCTGATTAGTTATGCTTAACCTTTAAGCGATAAAAGAACCAGCTATCTTGTCACCAGCCGCGGCTTTGGACGTAAACCTTTCTCTAGGATTATGCCTGAAATTCTCAAGATTTCGAACAATGGCTGGAAAACGTGGTTTAAGACAAGGACTTGGACATTTGCATCTACCTGGTTGGTGGTGTGTTAATTTTTTAAGTTTCCAATGGTAACTAAATTTTCAATGAAGATGTTTTTGTATATTAAAATCCTACACTTATCATCCTTGAGAGAATTTTAACTTCATCTATTGAACACTTTCTCAAACGCTGGGGTCAAGTCAGTAAAGTGTGTTGTTTATTATTAGTGTCCGCATAAATAAAAAAATAGCAGTACATACATGAAAGTATTTTAAAAGCTATGAGAACCTTCTACAGCGTTTTATTTAATAAAAAAAAATTAATAACGGTTAATGCCGTAAATTTAACTGAAACGTAGCCGCCACTTCAAGTTTTAAACACTTTCAGACTTCCAGTGATTTCGAATTTCACATACATCAAGTCCGGTGTCTATTACAAAAAATTCATTAAATCCCTAGATCACATACTAGGACCATCGGTTCGTGATAAAAAATTTTATTGCCAATTGCGACGCTTCATTGTTGTTATGTTCGCGTTGTCGAGTTACGTAATTTAGGGATTTTATACCTAAATTAACGTAAGTTCGAGCGATATCATTTTTTAAACCCATTAAATATTTTATTGTGTGTATATTTCAGGATTGGTGGATTTATTCTGTATCTTCAACTCTCAAACTTCCTCAGTGTCCAAGTTTGATTTGATAACACTCGTATTTAATACACATACTCCGGATCAAGTAATTAGTAGTTACTAATGTATTAACGGGGCTTTAATTCATTGGCGACATTTAATTGGAATAGTCATAAACAGGTTCTGCAATTTGTTGCAGTTGCAATGCAACTGATGAAGGAAAATCCAATTTTTAAAATCCTGTGATGTGTAAAGCGCTCCGTGTTGGTTTCGTTCAGATTTTCGTAGTGTTGGTTATTTTCGAGTTGTATCATTTCTGAGCTGTGAACAATCTACTAAACTAGCGCGGATATCGTCGTCTATGTCGCATCGGATATCCCTTGAGCACCGCCACTCTAGTTGCTTGGCGTGTTGAATCAGACTACGTTGCGAGATCTGTAAAAAAAACGATGCTGTGCCGGATTAAGGAAGCGCGGAGCCCGTAGCCAATTCTTTCAATCAGCCCTTGATCTGATATGGGTTCTTAAGTAGTATAAAGTGGTAAAAAAAATTATTCAATGATCTTACTTGATTAATAAGTTTCACTCAAAAAATTAAGGCCCAGGCAGAGATGAGTGGGTTTAAATATACGGGACCCCGTTTGGCGCGGGGCCCGTAGAAATTGCTACGCTTGCTCCATGGTTAATCCGCCACAGGGACTAAGCAAGTAGGGTATTGAAAGTTGGTTCTACACGTCATTATATATTTCATAGCATAAATGAACGACCATTAAAACGATTTATTTGTTACACACTTATCCGAAAGAACCGATCTGCCATGCCGATAGTGTGCCGCGTCCCCCCAATCCGGGTTAAGTAAACAGTTGATTAATCACAACGCGTTCTCACTGGAAATAATTGAAGTGAATACAGTTGTATTAAAAATAATGTGAAAAGTTACACAAACTCAACAATGTTAAGGTCTATTCTTGTTTATCCATGTCTAAATATAAATACGCGAGATTAAAACGGCCGCGAGATATTTTGCCGTGCATTTGAATGCCATTCGGGTATCGGAAAAATTTCACGAACGTAGAAAAACATCTTACGCGTATCAATAATTACAAACTGGAGAAGCATTTCAATGTGAAACGAGCTGTACTTAAAAAAAATTGAGATATTATTCCCGAATATTCTGTAACGGAGGCTACATTGTCACTGTGTGATACAGACTGTTCTTTATTTAAATATAAGCGAGATTAAGTTACTATCAAGTGCAATGATTCAAATGCGGTAGGGCCACGAAACTCTGCTCGTTGTGGCACGAATGGGCAGGTCCATCCGGGTGTCATTAGACCGGCTTGAAGCGGAAGTGTTGTACTCCTGCGTCTTGTCTGGTGAGTGAGGTAGACGGGGCTCACTTCATTAAAAGTGGACAACGCACAAAACTCTACGGGTGTTACCATGCAAATGTCACTGGGTGGCGGTAATCCTTGCCATCAGGTGATCTGCCGGCTCGCTTGTCACCTGCTCACATTAAAAAGACTAAATTCGTCTGATCATTCCTGTTGCTGGTTGTGAAGGTTGCCATGGCAACTGCGACTCCGGTGAACTGCCACTTCCTAATCCAACTTACTCCATAAACATCCTGAATTGCTGACAAACTCTCCATGCGATAGTCAAAAACAGATAATATATTACGTTACCAATAAAACGTGCTAAATTGTGATTTGAAAATTTACGTTACATAATTTCGCTTGCTCATATTTTGATGTTCTCCAGTGTCTCAATTTCGTGTCAGGTGCACGGTGATAAGCTTGTCTTGTCAGTTGACGCGTTCTCGGAATTAAGACGCTTAGCGATACTTGTCTTGAATCTTGATGTAAACTTTGGAGGGGGTCAGAAGTGTTTTCAAGCCTCAATTGGGGCATGTGAGATAAAATAAGTAAGGTAAGATTTCTTCGAAATTTTTGTCTAGTACAAAATTGTTCGTACGGTCACTTGGTGATCGAAAACTTAACAACGTTTTCAGTGTTGGACCCGTGATCCTATTTCAAGATCCGTAATTGACTTGAATTACTTGCTACGTGGCTGCCTTCAGGGGTATTACTTCAGAAGTGTCCTAATTATGGTCTGTAAAATTATTGTTAAAAAAATCTGCTACGGCAAAGTGGGAACGAGATTATGTATTTTTCATTGATTATTTGAGTATTCAGGTCGAACTAGTATTCGGAATTATTTCGTAAATAAGCAGTGATATATAATATTATTTCTTAGTTAGACCAATATAGTACCGTTTTGAATGACGAAATGTGCAGTCGGCAATCGGTGCATTATTTTGATAGAAATAAAAACTAGTTCAACAAACAGGCTTTTTCCGGCGGCTGCTAATTTCTCTCGAAACAAAGATAGTAATGACGTTAAATAATATCGGCGCACGCTCTATGCCGCATCCCAATAGCCTGTCAGATACGCCCGGTCGCGCGTAGCACAAACATCCTCGCTCAGGGGCGCTACCAGTGATCTCTTCGGCTATCGTGCCGCCGCCGTCGACGCACAGATCGCGTTTAGGGCCCGCCCGATAAAGCGGCAATTGCGCGGCACGCATCGGTAGGAACGGAACGCATGCAAGCGTCCGTCGCGAGTTTAGTACACACTAAGGCGGGGTCAACGTTCCAGGGTTATCGATGCTGGGGCGGCGCCGCGTGGTCGCGTGGACGGACGCCGGGGGTGTCGGGACGAGCGCGGACGCCGTCGCCAGCCCTGATCTCGGGGCCGATTGACCCCGCCGTTGGGGCTTTCGTCGTCTCCCATTGCGACGTTGCGATTAGATTTGGACGATGGCGATGCGAGCAAATATTGCTTTTCTTTTAAGCGCAATGCTTTAATTCAAGCGCAGCGATTCGGTGCAGCGCCGCAAAATAATTCTTACGCAAAATAATATTTTTTCACATATAAGTATCTAAATTATCATTAAAATATACAAATTATTTATCTCTTTAATGCATTAAGTCTTAGTAATCCGTCTAATGTGTACTGACAATTCATCAGTATTGGAATAAAATATATCCACTTTTAAGTTAAGAAATGCACTTTGATATCCGTGATCTACGTGTCCTTTTCCTAGCATGAATGATGTGGATTTTTCCACTTCGCTCTGGACGGTAGGAAAAGACAACATAGCCGCAAAAAGTTGGGGACATGTGTCCGAGTATTAGGGCTTGTTAGAACTATACCATGACATTTGATATCACATATATGGCCATACTAGCTGCTGCCCGCTACTACGTCTGCGTAGAATAGGCTTAAGGCGTAACATTCAAACAGAAAGACAGATTATAGCCTATGTCTTATTCTGATGAATAAGCTATATTATTGTAAAGTTTCATTATAATCCATTCAGTAGTAATTGACTGAAAGAGTAACAAATATCCATCCATACAAACAAACTTTCATCTTTATATTAGTAAGGATTAGATAGACATTGCTCGTAGAAAGTTTGAAACATTTTTTTTTACGATACTCAAGCTTGTAAAAAGCTACCAAACACAAAAAAGGAACAAAAAAGTTTTGGTGGTAAAATTTTTTTTACGCGAGAATCTTTTCTTCGGGAAACTTCGGCAAATCTTCTCGTCGAATATACCTCAATGTTTGAAGACTAAAGTCTTCAATCAATGTGTGTTGCCAGTGATGACCTACGGAACCGAGACGTGGTCCTTCACTGCTGGCCGTATGAGGAAGCTCAAAGTCGCTCAGCGAGCTATGGAGCGGGCTATGCTCGGTATTTCTCTGCGTGATAGAGTTCGTAACGAAGACATCCGCAGTAGAACTAAGGTGACCGACATAGCTCAGAGGATTAGCAAGCTGAAGTGGCGATGGGCCGGCCATATAGCTCGTAGAACCGATAACCGTTGGGGAAGAAAGGTTCTCGAGTGGCAGCCTCGTACTGGCCATCGCAGTGTAGGACGACCCCCCCACTAGATGGAGTGACGACCTGTGCAAATGTGCGGGAAGTCGATGGATGCAGGTGGCTCAGGATCGTACTTCGTGGCAGTCTATGGGGGAGGCCTATGTTCAGCAGTGGACTCAAACAGGCTGAAATGATGATGATGATGATGATGATGAGAATCTTTTCAATGGCACATAAGTTGTTAAACTGTATGTTTGTTTGTCTTTTCCTACCCTCTGTTTGAATTCAATTGCTGAAATGGTTTACGTGATCGCTGAAACTTATCGCGTGAACTTACAAATGGTTATGTTGGATTATCACAATAACAAATAACTTGATATGAAATCAAATATCATAACATAACATAATTGTAATTTCGAATGTGACAGGCTGAAAGCTTGTCGTTGTGAAGAACGATTTGAGACAAAAACTTACTAACCAGTAAACAATTGGGGTAGATTATGCTAACATCTTAACAATTTACATAGATACAAGTAATATCATAGTTAAGTAACTATTTAGGGTACAATTCCACATTATTATTAATCATTAGGCAACTTATGCTCCGCTCGTTGCATCGGTGTCTGTCCTTTGAGTATTAAAATATTATGTAATAATGTGAGAGCTTTCATGGATTATAGTACGATACATTATTTAATTATATTCTCACATGAAACACTACGTAATATTACTGTATTAAGAATTCCCTTCAGATATTGTGGCAACAAAGATTTCTGTTTACTTAAACTAAAATACCGATAATTTTAATACATTCTTAGATATAAATTACATAACAAGAGAAATCAATATTGGGCTTGCAAAAAAACACGCACACTCTCATCGTGTGGAGAATGCGAAACGACTAATATAAAATTAACGTTCAGATCTCGTTCATGGTTTGATATTAACAAAATTGCTTTTTTTCACATATAATTATAAATTTGGACCTAGAGATCATCCGTATAGTTTCCGTCGGGGTCACTCAGCTGGCGATCATCTGGTCGATGGCGATGATTCGATGGGTTTGGCACGGATCACTTCTTTCCAAGATCACTTCGTGTGGTTTTCCTGAGAAATTATGCAATTAAATCACCAGTTTTCTCACGGATCCGAGCATCAAGGTCTTTTTTGACGGCCCGTGCTCTAAAAGCCAAACCCGTAGACGCTGGTGTCCCACAAGTACTGTGTACTGTCCCCTACTCTGTATCTTCTGCATTTCAATCACTTGTACAGCAACATGCATTGTTATGTGGATGACAGTACAAGTGACGATTTATATACCGATCAGGCAAATAATTGTTGTTCAGGAGTTTACCGATTGTGAAATAAACTTAAAACTGTAATCGAGAATTTGTTAGGCAAAACCTTGGTATAACTTTAGTCTAATTTAACCTTAAGAAGGCATAAATTTGCGTGGTTACGCAAAGATAAAACCCTCCTTCTTTTGATGGCGGTTCCCTTGTTTGCCAGTCAGTGGCATTTGAAATTGTCGGTATCGACTTTTAGAGCAACAATCGATTTTGCGATCACTTGGCAGAGAAAGACAGGCCACGTTTTAAAAAGCTTGGCGTCCGTGCGTTCATCTCTTGGGCAGGCGCATCCCCAATACCAGCTCCTTCCATTCCATTTTGACAACATCCAAGCCGCTAAACTGTAGGGGATCAAATCCGTTCCAGTCATTTCATCTCTTTGGCCTTGCGAATAGATGTTTTACCTTTTTGCCTTTTTTATGGAGAGTGCCCTGAGGAGTTGATCGAATTAATACCTGCTGCTAAATTTCACCACCGTATAGCCTAAAACTCCCACATACTATCGCTACCAACTCGATGGTCGGCGATCCACCAATGTGTTTTTTTCAAGAAAATTTCCGTCCTGCACAACGAAATTGTGAAATCACATCAGCTGCCAGCTTGATGCCTGCCATAAATTGTTTAAAGGGTCGAAATGGGCATCATATTTGTAATAATTTAATTGTAACGAATGCATCCCTATAATTTTATGATTTGCAAATATAGGGTATTCCGTTTTCATACAAATATTTACCCCCAGAACAAGTAGTTTATTATTATATTATTATATTTAGTCCAAATGTGCGAGTTATAAAACGTTCACTAACTACTCTTAGTTTGTATCCGCTTTACAACTAGTGTATTTAAACTATCTAGTCTGAAATACTAAAAAGAAGCGGAGAGAAAATACATATATAATGTTAAAGATAAACCATGTAATGAAAACAAGATATAAATAATGCACAGATATAAGAGGAAACGTAACAGTTAATAATAACAAAGATAAATAGATTTAATTAATAAATTCAAATACATAGTAAATAACATGAATTCGATGGACGCACTCTTTATATAGAAATGAACAATAATATCGTTGTAATCATCTTATTTAAGACTGAACTACAAATGTATGTACCTATGTAATGCCTTATAATTAAAATGATATCTATATGACAAGATCAAAACCATTTTACAAAACAAGAACTTAACGTTAGCATGGGATACATTTTTCAGTCTCCGTAATTAGATAAGCAGTAAAACAGATTAAAAAATCGCAAGTTTCTGGTCTATCGGTCCACATCGTTGACACGCAAGGAATAGTCAGTCGCCTTTGAACCAGCGATAAAAATGTATGGTATACAATAAACATCGCTTTATTGCATGCGTTACATGTATGTAATATGTGCATTATGTATGACTTTGATGTTGATAACGGCCCGACACTGCAGCGGTCTGGACATTTTCTAAGCGACACAATTGCAATTTATTATTGGGTCGCTGTGTAAAAAATACGATTTATTGTTGTTTTATGTGTGTATTGGCAATGGAGCTTGCAGCTTACTCACTCACCACGAACGCAGAAGTGTAACACTTGCACTTCACGCTCACGATCTTCCGTGAGGTTGTCGGTACTTACGCGGACGGACCTGCGCATTCGTGCAATAGGCGAAGCTGTAGCGAGGCCCTACCGCAAATACGTCAATTTATATTCCCAATTTATATTTATATATATAGGTACATAAATATTTTTCGAAATTTTCGAAACACCACTGTCGCTGATGCGTTGCAACCTTTACGCAGGTGTTCTGTAAGCGCCCCGACCTGGGACGGACCAGTCCATTCGTGCAACAGAAAATACTGTTGTGTGGCCTTTCACAGTGAACATGCATTGTTGTTGGATTTATCAGAATACCGTATCCTGAGACAATGAACTGATCTGGCCATCTATCCTTCAAAGCTCACTGAAGAACTCACTGAGGGCCCACAGATCTTAATTATTGTATACAAATAAGAAGTAGATATAACACAAACGCACCAATTTTGGGGCACTCAAATTACGCCAATTGGTGTAATTAGATTGCAATTCTATAGACTGCTATCTCTTTCCGTATCGTACGTTCTATATCATCAGACACATAAGTAGCTTAAACATAGATCACAATAAAAATTTCCGGAACTGGCCACTTACATTAACAATGTTCAAAAAATTATTACAACATTTGAAAATGGAACTCTTTGGCTGTAAGGATGTTAATTTCATCTGACTGTCAAATGTTTTTTTTATAACATGGATTTAACTGGGGAACATTTACGTAGTATGATTTTCTACGATTTTCATTGTAATTTGACAGTTCAGCAGAGCCTCGCTCGGCTTCAATCTGCTTTTGGCGAAGAAGCACCATGCCAGATGACTATTCACAGCTGGTTTTCCGGAATTCAAGCGTGGTCTTGTCAGTCTCGGTGACGAATCTCGCGACGGTCACCCGTCCCCCGACGTCAACAACAAAAACATCGATGGTGTGCGGCGTATAATCGAAACAGACAGGCATGTGACCTGCCATGAGATTTGGGCAATTAAACATAGGATTGAGTCAATCAGTACTACACAAACATTTGGGTGTGACACAATTTGA